GAGATGTACAGCTGGGTATCATCAGCGTACTGATGGAACTCCACCCCAAAGCCACGGATGATCTCTCCCAGCGGCTTCACATAAATATTGAACAGTAGGGGAGAGAGGACCGACCCCTGAGGCACCCCACATGTTAGGGGTCTAGGAGTCGACCTCTGTCCCCCTGCCAATACAGACTGCGTACGGTCGGTGAGGAAGGTCATGTGATCTTTTGTGATTTTCTGAGAAGCAAAGTCAATGGAGAAGGTAGATTAACTTAACCATGTTACTAACAACCAGAGATTCACTTAACTGGGGCAAGAAAGGTCATAAAATGGGGGCAAAACCCATTTATCAACTGTTTCACTTAGCAACAGAATTGTTGTGCTCACTTGTAGTTATAATTCGAGGAATATCTGTACAATGCTAACTGGTTTGGGAGGATTGCAGTCCTCCATCCACTCTCAATTCTACCTGCTTTAATTGTAAAGTGTGAAACTATTGAAATCTATGTTTTGACTGTTCCTCCTGAGAAATGAGGCTTCCCAGGACTCAAAAAGAGCATGGAAATGGACATCTTGACCTGCAGAGGATAGAACAGCAACAAAAAAGGATTTGTAATCACATTCCTATTGCATTTTGCCTTCACAACCAATACACAAGGGGAAACACTGCATTATTAATAAACTGCCAAGGAAAAAAAATATAAACACTTTACACAAGTGGTGAACCTGTTTTCTTAAAGGGGAGGGCGGGGAAGTGGGAAAGTGCCTGAAAAGGCAGAAAGACCCAAAGCCAAACAGTCCCGTGTAATTTGCAAGAAAGTGGCTCCCAAAAGCGCGCCCTCGCCCCGCCCCCACCCACCCACCCACCCCCGGGCAGGCCGTGGCTTCAGGTGGAGCGCAGCCCCCGCCTCAGCCGGGGACAAGGGGCGGGCCCCCGGGCGAGCGAGCGAGCGAGCGGGCATCCGGAGCAGCCGTGGAGCTGAAGGCGGCCCCACCGTGCAGGACAGCTACGCACCGTGTATTCCCGCACTTGGCTGTGGAAGTTCTGCTCGCGGATGCTCACTTCGTCCGCGTCCATCCTGTCATAGCCCCCGCCGCGCAGCCCCCTCCAGCAATGGCCGTTGCTGTCCCCGCGCCTCCTGCCTCCCAGGGGACAAGCGAGGGACCATGGCCGGTGGGCAACGCCTGGCGTTCGGGACCCTCCTCAGGCCGGGAGGGGCGAAGCTCGGGCCGAACGCGCCACTCGCGGCGGCGGCGGCGGCAGGCGGCTGCGGCAACGACAACAACAACTGCGGTGAAGGCGGCAGCCCCGCGGACGGCCTCACGTTCCGACGCCGCCCCGCCCCTTCCCTCGCGCGGGGCGTGTCAGGCCATCTTGCGGCGGAGAGGGCGAACTGTCACGGGAAAACTGCGCCTGCGCAGACATTGACAAGCGGTAGGGGCACCAGCTGCCCGCGGACTCGGCAGGCTCGAAGGGGGAGGAGTCGCTATCCGTGGTGGGCGGGGCTGATGGACGCCGAGGCTGGGTTACCAGCGCTCCGGACCAATGGTAAGAAACAGAGGCGGGGCTTCGGTGCTCGGCGGGGCGCTGAAAGTGTGCGAGGGAGCGCTCTTTTAAGGCGGGCTTCTCGGCTTCTTTTCGAGGCGCCAGTGGAAGGGAAGCCCGCCCTGCTTGCGCTGCGGAAAATAAGTGGTAGATTGAAGGTAAAAATTATTAGTTAAGGATAGTAATATGCGAAGCCAAAAGCATATATTTTTTCTATCCTGCTCTATGGAGTAGAGAGTTGGTCTCTGACAGAAGGCCACCTGAAGAGACTAGAAGCACTTGAAATGTGGATTTACAGGCGGCTGTTACATATAAGCTGGGTTGACAAGATCAGAAATGAGGAGGTGATAAGCCGCCTGGGAAAGCCAAGGGAAATCATCAAAACAATTAAAAAACGAAAATTAGAATATTTCGGACATGTGATGCGACACCCAGAAAAATACGGCATACTCCATTTAATCCTCCAGGGAAAGATTGAAGGCAAACGAGGTCCAGGCAGAAGAAGAACATCGTGGCTTCAAAATCTAAGGGACTGGTTTGGACAAAACTCAGCAGCACTTTTTCGTGTGGCTGCTGATAAAAACAGGATCGCCAACATGATCGCCAACGTCCGATAACAGATATGGCACAAGAAGAAGAAAAAGCAGACAAATTCGTACTTATTTGTGAATTTGTAAGAGACAGTATAGGTTCTCCTGCTTGAGCAGGGGGCTGGACTAGAAGACCTCCAAAGTCCCTTTCAGCTTCTATTCTATTTTATTCGCCTCTTCAGTCAAGGCTGCTCTTAAGTGGGCTGACAAAGAGCAACAACAGTAGACAACGTAAAAAGTAGCATAGGGCACCATAGCATAAAAAAAGCATAGGTTATGTGTGGACTCAGCTTACCAGGAGATGTGCAAATCTAATGTTAATTGTTTACAGGTAGTCCTCAACTTACAACAGTTCATTTGGTGACCCTTTGAACTAACAACAGCACTGAAAAAAGTGACGACCATTTTTCACATTTACAACCGTTGCAACATCCCCATGGTCACATGATCAAAATTCAGATGCTTGGCAACTGACTCAGATTTATGACGGTTCAGTGTCCCAAACAAAGTCAGTAGGGAAACCAAATTCATTTAACTACTGTGTTTTATTAAGTTAACAACTACAGTGATTCACTTAACAACGTGGCAAGAAATGTTGAAGCAAAACTCAATACATTTCTCACTTAGCAACATAAATTTTAGGCTCAATTGTGGTCATAAGTCGAGGGCTACCTGTATTTGTGGTGTTGCTCATTATAATACTGGATGTGAGTAGGTGGGTTTGTAGTGTGCACAGCCTGGGAGCTCAGCCTTTGCGGTATGTAAAATTGTTCCCCAGCTAGGAAGAGGTTTTGGTAATGATGCAGGCACATAGATACAGTTTTGTTGGCAATATAGACATCCTACTTTTACTTTTTGCATAACTCAAGGCAATGTTCATAATGCTCCCACCTGTTTTCCTTACCACAAAAACTTTTATGATATGGGTTGAGCTCAAAGTCACCATGTAAATGGACGCAATCATCCAGGTCAAAAGTATCTGAAAAGATTAAATCATGGCGCAACTGAATCAAAGTTTATTAAAACTGAGACATTTCGTTACTCATCCAAGTAACTTCTTCAGTCAAATGAAAATTTTGGATAGAGTCAGAGAGTATGGTAAGAGTATGGTTTATTCCAACAACTCTCAAATTTTCATTTGATTGAAGAAGTTAGCTTAGCCAATCTCATTGTACACATGTTGTACTTTGATAATAAAGGTTGATTTGATTTGATTACTTGGATGAGTAATGAAATTACTCAGTTTTAATAAACTTTGATCCAGTTGCCATGATTTAATCTTTTCAAGGTCAACCAGTTTCCATGCCCCTAAAGGACTAGAATTCAGTGTCCCAATTTCTAGTCTAGTAGCACCTTAGCCACTACACTAAAGTGGCTCCCTTAAGGATTCATTCCTGCCTTTTCTCAACGTAGCGTTCAGCCTTGGATTGTCCAGATAGTCCCTGATCTAAATACTAAATGGGATCAAACAAACAATGTACACAGACCAAAGTTATTTAACAGTACATTTTTGAATTGCAGCTTGCTTCAAGGAACCACAAATATATAATTGCATCTTGATATATTCAAAGTATTGAAGATACTGTCTAGCAAATAAAAATCTAACTTTTCTATATGAGCATTCATTTTAAGACTGTAATGTGCCTGTATTTTAACTTAGCCTATCTGTAAGCTATTAGGCCTCTCCCAATTATTATTTTTGGGGTCTTACTGCTTAATAAAAAGCTAAGCATCTTTGATGTAGTTGCTGCTGATCTATTCACTGCATTGTATTATCATAGGATGTTTGCCTATTGCTTAAACAAGAGGTTTTCAACTTATGACCACAATAGATCACAAAATTTCCACTGGTAAGCATGACAGTTGTTAACTGAGTTGTGCCTCACTTTATGACTTTTTGCCACAGTTGTTAAGCGAATCACTGCAGTTGTTAAGTGAATCATGGAGTTGTTAAACGAATCTTCGTTAACCCATTTAATGCTAGTCAGAAGCCGACTTGGAAGGTTACAAATGGGGACAGTGCAATTGATATAAATACATGCCAGTTATCAAAAACCTAAATTTTGATCACATAACCATGGAGATGTTGCAATGGTCATAAGTCTGTAAAGTGGTCATAAGTCACCTTTTCCAGTACTGTTGTGACTTTGAATGATTAATGGTTGTAAATTGAGGACTACCTGTATTAAAGCAACCACTCTAAAGAGCATATGCAAAAATAACACATCAGATAGAAGAGGCTAGTCCTCTTTTTGACATTTTACTTCTGTTTGTGGGGAGGAGGGTATATTAAAAATTATTGCCATGTTCCACCACACTGACTAAATTGTGCATTGTTTCATGTCTTTGAAAAAGAATGCAAAAGCAGATACAGACCCATTCATAAAACATGGAAGATTTACTATTGCCTTCTTCCAAAATATTGGGAGGGAGTGTTAAAGTTTTTTTTTTAAATTTCCTAGTTTAATCTACAGCCGCAAAAATTCCTAGAGATTTCCCATCTAAATGCTCATCAAATCTGATCCTTGTTTAAGTTCAATTCTGAAAAAACGGTATAAACTTGGTGTCATATATTTTAAACTTTCCTTTGAAAATAAAATGCATGATTTATCAAAAGCAGTGATAAATGTATTGGTCCATGAAAAGAATATAATATCTATAGCAGGAAAATACTTGTACTGCCCAAACTCAAATGGCCCAACGATATGTGTAGGTTTTCAAGTTTTCTGGAGCTTTGTCATTTGGTGAGATGCTGTTAAAAAAAAAAGGGGGGGGGACGAAAAATAAGGAAATCCAAAAATTTGGTCCCATGTTTCAGCCATGAGTGCTGCAAGGTGAAGACTGTAGAATTAAAATACTAATTGATAGTGTAGTTTAGCACTCAGAGATGTGGGGATGTGTTCAGGTAGTCCTTGACTTACAACCACAATTGAGCCCATCATTTCTATTGTTGAGCAAGACAGTTTGTTAAGTGAGTTTTACCCCATTTTATAGCCTTTCTTGCCACAGTGGATAAATAAATCACTATCGTTGTTTAAATTAGTACTACAGTTTTTAAATGAATCTGGTTTCCCCATTGACTTTCTTTGTCAGCAGGGCACAAAATGTGATCACATGACCCTGGGACACTGCAACCTTCATAAGTACATGCCGGTTGCCAAGAGCCTGAACTTTGGTCACATGGCTGTTGGGATGCTGCAACAGTCATAAGTCATTTTTTTCAATGCTCTTATAGTTTTGAATGGACACTAAATGAATGGTTATAGGTCGAGGACTATCTGTACTCCTTGCCCCCAACTCGGAAAATACAAAGGCCACTTATTTACTATACTGCAGAGGTCCCCAACCTTTTGGGCACCAGGGACCGGTTCCGTGGAGAGAGGTTTTTCCACGGACTGGAGGAAGCATGGTCTTAGGTGCTGCCTGCATTCTGCGGATGGGGCTTTGCTTGTTTGAGCAGCCCGGTTGCTGGCATGCTGCAGCCCGGTACTAGTCCATGGAACGGGGGTTGGGGTCCCTTGCTATACTGTATGCAATGTTCCTTCATTAATTTAGAATCTCTTGCGCCAATCTTTTCTTTTTTAAAAAATGTCTCTTTTTCAAGTATGCTTGATTAAAGTTTTCACATGAATTCAAAACTGTGTTTTTAGTATATCCATTCTAAAATGCTGAGCTCCTAATGAGATTTGTCTTGGGTTTCTTTTTCTTTTTAATACTTCCCATGGCAAAAGAGAGAGAGAGAGAGAGAGAGAGAGAGAGAGAGAGAGAGAGAAATCTTTGCACTTACTTTTAGATGCACAAGCCTTTGGAAATTGACCCTGAAGTCATCAGGGTAAGAGCTTCAAATATCATAAAAAATGAGATTTATAGTACATTTCCTGAAACAAAATAGCCCTTTCCATGTTTTTTTCCCCACTGAATTTCCATTGCATGGGAAATGCA